GACCAAATAAGAAATACAATTTCAATTAAACCTGATTGAATAGAAATCTAATTTCATGCAGCTCTCTCAATATATTTGAACTCCTTGCTCCCCCATGAGAACACGCTGCCCCCCTCCTGGCCCTCTGGGACATTTGGTCTAGAACCGCCACTGGACTGAAACGATTTTCCACTTTGACTTTTATCTTCTTTTTCATAACAGATGTTAGGACGTATTCATAAAAAAATATTAATAAGCATATAAAAGGAATTATCGAAATGTATTCATCTATTCTTTGCACCCTGAATGTAGAGTAAACTGCATTTCTGCAGCATTATTTCTACACGCACGCACAAAGCGCTGCTTGCAGATCACGTGATTTATAGGAATCAGCCTTGCAGAAGAGAAAATGAAAGCAGCAGTATTTTTTTTTTTTTTTTTTCCCTTTTTTGAGGTAAATAAACTGCAACTAAGCAAAAAAAAAAAAAGGTATAGTATTCAGCAGCCCGTAGAGAAAAAAACAGATATCAATGGAAAACAATAGAATATGCCACCAGAAAATACGTATTAACTTTTTTGGAAAAAAAAAATTGAAATTGAAAGAAGAACTTAGGGACAGGTGACTAAACACTGTCCACTACAAGAATGGCTTTTGTTAACATAGGCCTAATAGATTTTTATATGTTTCATTTTTATATATATATTGGGCCACATGTAAAGAAGGTGGCAGTGAGCATCTGTTGTTTGCAAACGAAGAAGAAGAAGAGCTCCAAATGTGCTTCAGTCAGACTGAACTTCTTAATATTATAATAATCATAAAAGGCTGCTTTCAGAAGCCAGCTAAGGCAAACTTTTGGTCTTATGAATTCTTAAATACACACACATCCACTCACATTCAAAGTATTAGACTTAGCCTGCAACTTTTATTGTGGTTTTGTATACACTGAGTGTGTAAAAAGGGAAATCAAGACATTTCCATTCCCTAAAGTGCAGCAGAGATCAAATGTTAACAGTGTGGGAGAAAAAAAACATTGTGCAATAAATGCAGTGATATGGAAGTTGAGAGCATTAAATATATATAATGTGCAAATATTCAGTGTTTTGGTTTGGTGTTATTAGTGTGATGCAGAGTCTGTGACATGATTTTAGAGTTTTCCTAACAGTTCAGTATGTTAAAACCACAGCATACATTTACATTTGTTTCTGTAACTGCAAAAAAATACGGTATTTGGGATGTCGTATAAACACAAACTTCAAAAGTTTACTTGGATTTTATTTGTTTAGCAATAATTATTTTGTATTTGTGTTGTGGACAGAAAATAAGGGTGTGTTCACCTGTTTAGTGTGCACCGTTTCGCAGCTCTGAATGTTAAAATGATACTTTGTTTAATATTTCAGTTAGATTAATTGCTTTCACACCAGCTTTCTGTCACTTTGACCGAACACCTCAGTACTTGGAATGCATCATGTCTCCTTGACAATCAATAGAAGTCCAAAAGCGCTGCTGAAAAAGGGAAACAATAGTGTCTGAAAATGAAGCACGGCTGCAGCTTGAAAATAACAAGCTGATGCTCTGCAGACACTGAATGGAAATATCTGCCCCATTCAGAAGAAGATGCAGATTAATGCTCCTTAACATTCACAGTGAGATCCTCATCTGGCGCAAAAAACTGATGACCAACACGGTAATTTATGCCTCTCATATATAATTATATTATCGCACCAGAGTTTGGCTGCAGCCGAACTGAGAACTCCTGAGGCCGCGCTAGTTTAGAGGCTGACTGTGTTTTCACACTGACCCAAACGCCACCAAATTTAGATCTATCTAGATTTAGATTGACCTAAAGCTGCAGCAGTGAAAACTTCTTAAGAGACTGCTTCAGTTTCATATGAAAAATAAGATAAAAATGGTTACTCAGTTCTAGACTTTGACTAGGCCATTCTAAGCCCTGAATCCTTTCATCATAGCTCTGTTGGTGTGTTTGGTGTTGTTCCGTTTTATTTTCTCTTCTTTTCGCTCCATCCATCTTCCTGTCTGAAGTGTCCAGCTCCCCTGTCTCTTCTGAAGCAGGTTGTGTTGCATATGAATTGTTGTAGTTTTAGTTTCTGACACATCTTGAATTGAGGCCAAAAAGTTTAAATTTCATACTCTAACCAGAGCGCCTTCTTCCACATGTTTGATAAATGTTCTCCTGAACCTCTGACACCTTCACAAAACATCAGATTTTACACTGAGATTCATAAAAAGAGAAAAAAAAAAAACATTAATTCTTTTTACTAAATAGATGTCTTCCTAAGGCTTTGCTTTATTTTATTTTATTCAGTGGTGCCTGCTATTTCTGTTTGAAAAACAATTTTGAAACAAGAAAGTGTAAAAAAGTTTCTAATGCCCTGCTTTGTTTAATTTAATATTAACTGTTTAAGAAAAGCTAAAAACTAAATGTTTTTATTTTTTCACAGATGGAGAAAAACAAACTTAAACCCTTAGACGGTTTATATTTACTCACAGTCAGAAACACTGATGCCAGCAGCAGGACGACGGAATATACAAGACCTTTATTATTTATGAACACCTGAGGGGAAAATAAAAACACATCAGAACAGGAATGTTTTAGTTAAAAAAACAAACAATAACATGGAGGTAAATGAGTGCGTACTACAGATCCATGGTCCACCAACAGGGTACGTAAAGCCCAGGGGAAGCCCAAACCCAGCAGGATGTCAAAGATGTTACTTCCTATGGAGTTGGACACGGCCATGTCCCCCATGCCTGGAAAATCAAACCTTTAAACCAATGCAGTGACGGGATAAATCGTTTTAAAAACATGAGTAACTTTTCTTCTAGCTACCTTGTCGAGCTACAATCAAGCTTGCCATGCAGTCAGGTACGCTGGTTCCTGCTGCCAGGAAGGTTATGCCCATGATGTAGTCAGGGATGTCTAGTGTATAGCTGATGATGGTGACCTGATGATCAACAAACATTTGTCATAATTTCATTCCATAGTATCATTTCAATGGTATTTTACATCCATAAATGTACAAAATAACCAACAAAAGCAGCAGTTAAAGGAATAGTACACCCAAAACATGATTAGCCTTCATTTTCTACTCACCCCCATGCTGAACAAAACTCTGGAGTACTTTTTTGATATCTCAAATGCATCTGGAGATCTGGGAGGCTTCTTGCTGTCTGCTGACATTCAAATAATGGAG